AAAATGAATAGAGAGAAATACTGTTAACTGATGGTATATGGAAGGGATTAAAATCATTGTAATGAAACAAAGTATATGATTTGTTGAATGTAAAACTGATGATCTGTCCTGTGCACTTACTTTAAATTTTTTCGTATTTGTGAAACAAATGTCATTTGAAGATGTCAGTTCATTGGTTGTATTGAGATATGGAATTCTGGCATGGGTCTGTAGGATCAGCACTGGTCTGCTAATGACAAGACCAAAGGTTCAAACCACCAGCCGCTATGCGGAAACCCTATACAAGGTCACTATGAGTTGGAACTGACTCTACAACACTTAACAGTTACAGGCTCTATTAGTTAGAACTGACTCTGCGACATTTAACAATAACAACAAAGTATATTGTTAAATGTCGTTGAGTAAGTTCCTACTCTTAGTGACCCTGTATAAGTTTTCCAAGAAGTAGCTGGTGGATTTGAACTGCTGACCTTGTGGTTTGCAGTCCAGTCCACTGATCCTGCAGTGCCACACCAGAAACCCATACACTTTAGATAACTTTGGTTTATTTTATTACTGAACCTAGAATATTTTCATCTATTTTTTTGGTACAATTCACTGTAAATATATACATACCAAATCCATTAGTCTTTGAGAATATTCTCAGAGAAACCCTATGAAGCAGAATACAACTACCCCACACATCTTACTCCCATGAAGCAGCTGGTGGGTTTGAACTGCCAACCTTTTGGTTAGCAGCTGAGTGCTTAAGCTTTGTATTGCCAACCCTGGAAATAGATACATAGCTTTTAGGAAGCCGTACACTTTCTCTTACAGTATGTCAAAATCAATCTTAAAATGATAAAATGTTGGCATTTTAATGTATATTTCAGGGGTGGAAATTTGTGACTGCATCGTTTTATCAAACAGTTGACTAAACACTTTATATGTATTATTTCATTTAATGCTCAGACAGCCTATAAGGTAGGTGAGCATTCTTCCATATACAGGTAATGAAACTAAGACTTACAGACTATTGTGCTCAGGTATCGTAACTAGTAATTAGCTCAGGGTTGTTTTTTTGTTGTTGTTGTTGTTTTTCTCTCTTTATATATTCACACCCACAAACATTAAAGATTTGAACTACTAACCCACTTTTTATTTAGAATTAAGGCCTAGTTTTAAAAATAACCAAAGGCAGCTTCTTGACTAGCTTGAGGCCTCTACTGGGAAGAATATGTAATTTCAACATTTAGTCAGTATTTGCATTGGAGATGGTAAGAGATTGTTGGAAATGAAAGTCTAGTGGAAGGGAACTCCATACACAGCAATTGGAAAACAAGGTTTTCATCTGTGAAGTGTTTGAATACCAAAACCCTATATAACCAGCTGCCATCGTTTCCGACTCTTGGTGACTCTGTGTGCCAGAGGAGAACTGTGCTCCATAGGAATTTCAGTGGCTGATATTTTAGAAGTAGATCTCAAGGCCTTTCTTCTGAAGAGCATCTGGGTAGACTCGGATCACCAACCTTTTGGTTAGCAGTCAATGCATTAATCATTTGCACTATCCAGGACTCAAGTTTCTAAATTAACACATACCATTAATGATTATGGAGTCCTGGTGTGGTGCTGTAGGAGAAGCACTGCCCTGCTAACCACAAGATTGGTGGTTCAAAAAAAGATTGGTGCTCTTTGGAAATACTATACCGGGTCACTATGAGTCAGAACCAACTCGATGGCACTTAACAACAACAACATTAAGGATGATGAGTCCCTGAGTGGTCCAAATGTACTGGGCTGCTAACCAAAAGGTTAGTAGTTTGAGTCCACTGAAAGGCACTTGGGATAAAGACATGGTGATGTACTTATGAAAAATCAGTCCTTGAAAACACTATAGATAATGAGGGCAAGGGAATAAATGGGGAAAGAATGGTTGCATAACTCAAGGAATGCAATCAATATCACTGAAATGTTCATGCAGAAATTGTTGACTTGGTGTATATTTTGCAGGGTCCGTTCTCAACAACAACAAAATAAATTATTTTTTTTTAAAAAACCCTATAGAGCATAGTTCCACTTTGAAACTCATGGTATTGCTTTGAGTCATAGTCAACCATAACATGTTGTTGTTTTAAATTAATGATAAGGTAATGAGAACCTCATGGAATCCTAGTGTGGTGCTGTAGGCTAATGCATTGGACTATAAAGTTGGTTTGAACCTCAACATCAGCAGTTCAAGCTCACCAGCCGCTTCTTGGAAACTCGATACAGGGTCACTATGGGTCGTATCCAACTTGATGGCACCTAACAACAACTATGAGACCCTCATAGTTGGACATAGAAAATGAGTTTTGAATAGTATTTTTGAAGGAAAATTACTTAGCATAATCGGGAAAGAAGAAGCCTAATATTCTTTAATTTTTTTTTCTCTAAATTGTCATAGTCGAAAATCTAAGTAATGTCAAGGCTTGAAACAGATGTATAGATTCTGACTGACAGTTTTAGGGAGGACCCAGACTGATCACCATGATTTATGTGTAATTTTTTGGTGATGAAAATGATAGGCTACTGATTATTTAAACCGACAAATATGGTTTGGGTTTTATTGCTCATTATGTTGATTGACACCTGACATTTATAAATCTGGTATTTCCCATATATTCATGATATTAATTTCTGATTTGTTTTGTCTTGCATTTTCAGAAGGAGTTTTGGAACACCTACACAAAGGCGCACCAGGGAGAGAGTCACAGAGGAAGTGACTGGTTTCAGTTTTACCTGACCTTTCCGTTAATCTTTGGCCTCTTCATCATCCTCCTTGTCATTTTTCTAATCTGGAGATGCTTTCTGAGAAACAAAACTCGAAGACAGACAGTGACTGAGGGCCACATCCCTTTTCCTCAGCACCTTAATATCATCACTCCTCCTTCCCAACCAGATGAAATGTATGATAACAGCGGGCTGTCTCCAGGCTTTCTGGAATATGTAGTTGGCCGCTCAGATTCCATCTCCACCCGCCTGTCTAACTGCGACCCCCCACCGACCTATGAGGAGGCCACTGGTCAGGTGACCCTTCGCAGAAGTGAAACAGAACCTCATTTAGACCCACCTCCAGAGTACGAGGACATTGTCAACTCCAACTCAGCCAGTGCCATTGCAATGGTGCCTGTGGTCACCACCATCAAATGAAGCTGTAAACATATTTTTACTCTAACCATTTTTAAAATACTAATGAAAGAACTTTCTAGCACTTTACCACTACATAAATTTTCATTGACTTATTTTATTGGACTCCTACAGCATACCACTTCACACTTTCTGGTTTGATTTTCTTTCATTTTGGTTCCTATTATAAAGTGCTCATTTTTATCTGTGCTCATTTTTGCTAGTGGAAATATGTGAAGAAAAAACATACTAGTGGAGGTTCTCATGTGATGCAATGACACTTGTATGAGTATATGTGTGTGTATGTATGTATATGTATATGCATGTACTGTGTGTATTCACATAGTATATATGCAAGTGTCTTAAAGAGCCATTAATTTATATCTCAATCACCTGTATAGAGAACATTATTCACCAAAATTTGGGGAAGGTCACCATCAATTTATGTAATAGATAGCCAGTAACATGCTGTTGAATTTTACAAATAAGATGTAGTTAGCATGCATTCTAACTCTCACTGGCTTTTGTTAACCTCCCATTTCTTCATCTAACGTAAAAGGAAAAAAATGCATGTAGTATTTATTGATTTTTGAAATATCTCAGAAAGAATGTGAGCAATAAATGATTAAAGGGTGTCCAGCAAGAAAATCATAGGTTATTTGGCAAGGTTTTTTTTTTGTTGTTGTTGTTAACCATGGTCCTCACTCCCAGGGAAAATTGAACAGCTTTTGATTAGCATCCTGTAAATGTCTCATGACATTTATATTATCTTGATAAAGATTATTTTTTGGCAAGGAAATAATTTCTGAAGTAAGCCCTGGTGGCACAATGGTTGAAGCACTCTGCTGCTAACGTAAAGATTTGCAGTTTGAACCCAACCAACAGCTCTGCAGAAGCAATGCCTGGCAGTCTGCGTCCATAAAGATGGCAGTCTAGGAAAGCCTCTGGGGCATTCTGCTCTATCACGTGGGGGCATTTAAGTTTGATTTGACAACACCACACCACAACATGGGACAAGGAATAGATACTAATGATTTCTCCTTTGCTTATGTGTGGCAATAGTTATTTTCTTCTCACTGTTTCATTGTCTTTTTACTCTATACTGTCTGTTCTCTGTCCTACTACCACAGATTCTGTAACCACGTAAGACTTTAGAGTTAAATATTTGAGATTATTTTATTGATGTTTTGTATAGGATGAGGTCTTTGCCTCAAAATTATTAGGAGGCAATTTTCCATTAAATTAAAAACTGTGATTTTTATATTGCCCTCCAATTGGTGGCGCAAGATTGCAATGTCTTATGTTGTGCCAGGTGTACGCTAAATCTAGTTATAGTCCCAATTAGATCTCATGATTGTTTCTGTTTTGTGTTTTCAGTAGCTTTGCTTTCTTATTTTTTTAACTACAGGATTTATTATTATTATTATTATTCTCTTAGAATGGAGAGAACAGGTTGTATAATTGAACTGTCTGTATACATTGGCTCAGAAAGGAAAAATGTAGACAGATGTTTCGTATGAGGTTCCACCTTGTATGCACTAATAGAAAATGCATTAGATCCATTCAGGGAAATGTCTGTGCCAATCCCAAGCCTCCCTAGTGTTGGAGAAAATGGTTGATGAGACAAAATTTGAATACCAGTTTTGAGCATTTAGTCTCTGCTGTCTCCATCCTCCTCACCACCCCACTCCCACTGCTCCCTGAAACCAAAGAAAGTAGGAAGAATTTTGGGGAAAATCCTGAACTTGGAGTTATACGATCTAAATTCTAAATCTGGTCTGCCATATACTTGACATGGTACCTTGGTCAGTACCCGTATTTCTGAGCCTCAAATCTCTCACCTCTAAAATGGGGATGATATCATCTCTTCTGCCCTTCTCCAAGGGCTTAAAAGGGTCAAATGAGATGGTGTGTGTGAAAATACTTGGTAAAATGTGAAGTCTAATAACATGAAGGTAGTAGAGCTATTACTCTAGTGCTTTGGGGAAAAATTTCCCCCTCTTTCTCTAAAATTGATCATATCTTTCAAATAGAAATAAAACTCCATACATTGTTAACATATTCTTAATCTGAGTATGTGGGCTATTAGTGTGTGTGCCCTTCTCTACTCTGTATCAATGCTGTGCCAACCTAAAGCAAATAGCCAGCTCTGCCTAAACAGGATTAAGGAAATGTTGGAAAGGAAACTAAGGCATGTGTGTTTATTAAAAAAAAAAAAATGTGTTCTGTAGCTTTTATGGTCTGCAAACATCTGGACTCTGGTCTTAGCAGAAATGACAAAATTGTTTTGAACTTGGACATGATCTTTGGTCACCTGGTTAAAACTGAATGTGGGATTTTTTCCATCTAGTGATTTATGTATGTATATATGAATTTTGGGTTTACTTTTAAATGAAAAGACTCCTTTTGTATGGCTTTTTTTTTCTTATTGTTAGAACCAGGCCTTAGGTTAAACCAGCAGTTTTCAAAGTGTGACCCATGGAAGCTATTTTCGTAACAATACAAAAACATTTGCCATTTTCATGCTAATTTTCTCCAAAAAAAACCCCCCACAAAAATAGCAAAACCAAAAAAAGTTATAAAAATGTAAAACAGCAATGCCACTCAGCCACTCTTCCCACAGAACTTTTTCTTACAGAAAATATAACTATTTTTCATAACAAATATTATTTATGTTAACTTGTAATGGGTTTTTTAAATGAATTAGACATTTTTTAATTTCTCAGTTTTATTTCCTAATATGATAAGTCGTGATTGAACCACATAAAAAAAGCAATTTGGGGTTTGGATCCCCAGTAAATTTCAAGAAGATAAAGTAAATTTCAAGAAGATAAAGAGCAAAAAGTTTTGAGAACCACAGGATTTAAATAAAAGAGCAGAATGCTTCATTTCTTATTACCTATTCTAACAACTCTTTTATTTTAATCTCCTGATCTTGGAGTTGATATTGCCTCTTAGATATATTTGAATTGCAGTATAAGAAGTAAGAATGTTGACCTGGAAACAAATGCCATATGCTTAAACTGATCAATGACTAACCCAGTGGGACAACTAGCATCAGCCACAGATCTCATGGTGGCTTGCATGTGATAGTGACAGGCTAACAAAAATACTGCTTTCTTCAGGAAACATTCATTAAGCTTTGTTTGTTTTATTTGAATTTTCTTTGAGCTTTAAATTAATTTAAAAAACACCATTAACTACTCCATCTGGTTTTATAAATGCTGTCTCTTTAATATTTGTTATAATTAAGGGGCTTGTCTGGAACAATATATATTTTGTATGCTTTTGTCTTTCTTACCTAATTGATATTACACTCACCTTTGATCGTTTTTAATAAAGGTTTATTTTTGAAGAATAGATTTAGTACCTTTCTTAAGTGGTAACTAAATAGACTCAACCGGCTTGCATTTAAATGAAAGAATAGACTATGATCTCCAAACTGAATGTGTTATAGGCCTCCACATGCAGAGGTTGTGTCTGGAACTCTAGATTGGGCAGAAAATTGCTGCCTTCCTGCTCTGAATGTCAGGGTAAGTTATATCTGTTTAAAATAAATATAGTGATTTCTTTCTTTCGTATATGTCTGCTGACCAGTGCAAATTTATAGGTGCTGTATTTGTTTCATTGTTAATGATGACTTCAAGATTGATGATCTGATAATGTGGAATTAGCTTTAACTTGGTCCTGTGTAAATAGCATGTATTTTATTATAATAGTTCACATTTTTAAACACTTGGTTTACATTAAATTATGGTATTTAACTATTTTTATGTTTATAATAGATAAGGTTTTTCTTACGTTTCTGTGGTTTTGGTATGCTAAATAAAGCTATTTTTAAACCCAAGAGATTTCTTCTACCCTGTATTAATCATATTGTGGTTAGATATAAACATGGTGCATAAATTTTGTTTGTTGTTGTTAGGTGCTATTGAGTCAGTTCTGACTCATACTGACCCCATGTACAACCCAAGGAAACACTGCCCAGTTCTGCACCATCCTCACTAACATTGCTATGTTTGAGCCCATTGGTACAGCCATGGAGTTGATATATCTCATTGAGAATCTTTCTCTTTTTTTCTGACCCTCTCTTTACCAATCCTGATGTTCTTCTCCAAGGACTGGTACCTCTTAATAACATGTCCAAAGTAAACAAAACAAAGTCTCACCATCCAGGCTTCTAAGGAGCATTCTGGCTGTACTACTTCTGACACAGAGTTATTCTTCTGGCAGTCCAATACTCTTCACTAAGTCCATCATTCAAATAAATCAATTCTCTGGTCTTCCTTATTCAATATGCAGCTTTCACATGTATATGAAGTGACTGAAAATACCATGGCTTGGGTCAGGTGCACCTTAGTCCTCAAAATGCCATTTTTGCTTGTTAACACATTTAAGAGGTCGTTTGCAGCACATTTGCCCAATGCAATATGTCATTTCCCTGACTGATGCTTCCATGGTAAGCGACTATGGATCCAAGTAAAATGAAATCCTTGACAACTTTAACCTTTTCTTTATCCTGTTGTTTGTTGGTACAGTTGTGAAGATTTGTTTTTTCATTATGTTGAGGTATAGTCCACACTGAAGCCTGTAGTCTCTGATCTTCATCAGTAAATTGTCCAGGTTCTCTTTCAGCAAGAAAGGCACATCTGCACATTGTCCCTTGTTGATGAGTCTTCCTCCAATTCTGATGTCATGTTCTTCTTCATAGAGTCCAGCTTCTTGTATTATTTGCTCATCATTGATTAAGTTTGGTGAAAGGATGCAACACTGACACGTGCCTTTCCTGATTTTAAACCATGCAGTATGTATCCCCTTGTTCTAGCCTAGATTGTTAACCCTCTACTACCAGAGCTCTCTAGAGAAGACACCAATTTCATTAAACACAAAATATTAATCCTGTTTGCCAAATATTCACTTATATAATGTGAACATAAATTCTTAAAATGGTTTTGAGTTGGTTACTGAAAGACTATATATTTAGCAAAAATAGTAGTTCAATTTTCTTATCTTTAAAAAATGTT